AAACTCAGGTTAATCTAATCGATTTATGAGCTTGTTTTGTAGAAGCTGACTGACCACCAATAAGCAAAGACTAGAGCAAACGAGGAAGAATTCTTGCAGTTGCACACAAAAGGGATCAAGAATGCACAAAAGTGATCTCTGTGAGGACACACCCAGAGATCTCCCTCAACTTATTATACTTACACCGCCATTTTATGAATGGCGTTCCATGAAGAGACGATTCCTCAATAGTGTGCTCAGAAAGGACACCTCCCCTTTTCCCAACATCCAATCAGCATATTCCATTCAACCTACATACTTTGTGATATCCTTAAATGCATCCAACCCCAGCCCTTTGGGGAGGTGGATTTGAGAAATTTTTCTGCCATCTCCTTGCTTGGTGCCCTACAATTAAACCTTTTTTCTGTCACAAAACTGGTGTCAGTGTCTGGCTTTCTGCACATCAGGCAATGGAAACTTGTCTGGTGACATCTTCGTACTACAATCTTTCAATAAAGCACAAAACGTGTTTACTGACAGACACAAATTTTAGCCTAAGTTTCTCTGTAATAGGGAAACCAAAAGTGGGTAAACCTATATGTTTAGTAATTAATATTTCATTATTTTATTTGGAAATGATCTAGATATTCAATGAATTTAACTCATCAACTTGGCAAAACTTTAAAGTTCAGGATATCAAAAAAATTTGGAGGGATTTTTTTAAGTACATATACCATAAAATATAATTGTTGTTAAAAGTTTATCTACAAACTTTTATTCTACTTATATCTATCTAAAACATTTGCTCCCAACAATTATGTTTAGATCACCCACAAAAACTTTATGAGACATGAGACAAAATCAGTTACATTCTAAGTTAGTTTTGTTGACAAATTTTGTAACAGAGATAACATGAAGTTATTTAACTAGTAAACCCCAGTAGGAGAAAAAAGTGTTATATTTAATTCTGATAACTCTAAAGACATGTCTATTTTAAACAAAGAACCTTAAATTGGCTAATGGATTATTTTTCCCATATCCTGTAAACCTGAAATATATTTGGATTAAGTTTCTTTTTTATTTTAGAGAATTTTTTATGAATACTAAATGTATGTAAGCACTTAATTTTCTTTAAGCCAATGAAATAGAGCTCTTTTATAGATTAATTATGGCGATACCATCTGGAGGTAGAAAAAACCATATCTCTAATATACATACATACAAATACAACAGATAAGCACAGAGATCTTATAGTTTCTGTTTTAAAACAATATAAAATTCGCTAGTCAGTAAATAACAGTCTGAATAAATTAAGTTTACTAGCTCAGATGGCTAAAGTCTTTTAGGGGTGCCTGGGTGGCTCAGCAGGTTAGGTGTCTGCCTTCAGCTCAGGTCATGATCTCAGGGTCCTGGCATCCGAGCCCCACATCCGGCTCCCTGCTCAGCAAGGTGTCTGCTTCTCCCTCTCCCTTTGCCCCTCCCCCCTGCTCCTGCTCTCTTTAAAAAATAAATAAATAAAATCTTTTTTTTTTTTAATGAAGTCTTTTGGAGCACCTGGTGCCCCAAAAAAGCCTGCTTCCTTTTTTTTTTTTAAGATTTTATTTATTTATTTGACAGAGAGAGAGGGAACACAAGCAGGGGGAGTGGGAGAGGGAGAAGCAGGCTTCCCGCTGAGCAGGGAGCCCGATGCGGGGCTCGATCCCAGGACCTGGGATCATGACCTGAGCCAAAGGCAGAGGCTTAACGACTGAGCCACCCAGGTGCCCTGGGAAGCCTGCTTCTCCCTCTCCCACTCCTCCTGCTCGTGTTCCCTCTCTCGCTGTCTCTCTCTCTCTCTCAAATAAATAAATAAAATCTTTAAAAAAAATAAAGTCTTTTACTATTTCTAGAGCAGACTTTTAAGAAATTTTATTTGCCCTTGGAAGTAATGTTAAAGAGGCTGTGCTAGAGTTTGGGCACAAGAGCCCTTTTAGCTGTTTGTATTTTAAAAAGTCCTCTTTCTTTTTTTTGTGTTCTTCAGTCTCAGGTGATTGTGGGCTGTGTTTACATTTCAAAGGTATGAAATTTATAACTTTAAGAGACAGAGAAAGAATGAAAACTTTGTTTGTTTGTTTAGTTTTGGGGTAATTATTTTTTACCTCTTTTAAGTACAAGGCCATTTGTTCTAATATCCTGGTGTTTTCTAATATCTACAAATATTTTGAGAGGAATAGGCAAGGTTTGGGGATTGGTAAAGATAGGTGGGTTTTGACTTGTTTCTAGAGTTATATTTCTGGTTTTGTAGAGATCTTCAAGACAAAAACAATAGTTTCTAATTCCCCCAGAGAACTGGATTAAAGCTTGGATATTAAGGAAATGACCTGCCTTTTTTTTTTTTAATTTATTTTATTTATGAAAGAGAGAGAGAGAACTTTTGTTCGAGTCATTTCTTGGCTTTCAACATTTACATGAGTAACCCGTATACTTTGAACCCAGAGACTGGGTCAGAGTGCTTTTTTAAGTCAGGATGGCTAAAGGGAAGTTAAAATAAGCAGATGGGGCCAGATTTTAAGAAGGGGAACTTACATAGGATGTGGACAATAATATTTGTCTGAAGTCTAATTTCTGTTCTTTCCTCTTGTCGAGAGTCCCTAAGGCCAGCTGTTACACTAATAAGACAATTGAGAATGCTCTATAAAGAGTGGGGTTTGGGAGCGCCTTGGTGGCTTAGTCAGTAAGCGTCTGCCTTCACCTCAGGTCCTGATCTCAGGGTCCTGGGATTGAGCCCCACATCGGCTCCCTGCTCAGCGGAGAATCTGCTCCTCCCTCTCTCTCTGACCCTCTTCCCCACTTGTGCTCTCTCTCTCTCAGATAAAAAATTTAAAAAAAAAAAGTGCTTTTTTTTTTTTCTTTCAAATACAGCCAATTTAAAGGAGCCATCATCTGGCCATGATGAGTAGGATCATATTGATCTCAGTAGTGACTCAAGCCAATAAGCCTTTTTATGGAACAACCCAGAGGCAACTTTCCAGGCTTAGCCCTTGGGTGTAGGAGGCATCCCAGGAGAGGGCCTAGATGATGCGGCCCCCATGATTCACAAGTTTACTCCCCAAAAATAGCCTAAGAAAACAAAGGCCTTTATTGCACAGGTAGTAAAAATGGGATAGTGAAAACAATGTCTCTGGTCTCCCACAAAAATGTGAGATGTCTCCAGTCAGCCGGGCTGATCTATGACACGAGGCAGGCACTCCTGCAATGGGACTTTTCCAGCACTAACAAACAATAAAGGTTAAGACCACAAAGTTCCCTTATTGGCAAGGGACCTCTTACGACTAACTCCTCAGAGAGCTGGCTGGCACAGCCAAAGGGAGCGCTGCTTATAACTGTGTGCCTCTGAACCCCAGTCTATTTGACTACCCACCAAGTTGTGCCCAGGTTAAGTCACCCTCCCGATGGCGGAGACCAGAGAGAATAGTCTCACTAGTCTCAAAGTAAAGGTTTCAGACATAAAACAAGACAAAAGGAAAACCCTCATCTGGATTTTACAGAGGGGCCCCCCGCAAATTTTGTCTAAACAGACACGGGTCCGATGAGAACCATGAGTGCACCCGTCTGTGAGGCTGGTTCGAACGGCAGGCTGATAAGGCCAATGCCTGTGTTCCTTCTCTACCATAATTCCTTTCATGACAAATGACACAGAAGACAAAGACAAACAGTGACCCTCTGTTGGAGGAAATGTGTCAAACAAAGAGCACTTTACCAAATTTACCAGAGATGCTAAGCCCAAGTAACGAATTCCACGAATATTGTCTCCTGCTAATCTACGTTTAGAAAGAGATAGAAAGGGCCCCCTTCATTCTCATTCCATTAGACCCTGCACTTAGCCAAGTAAGGACTCTTACTTTATATCGGCTGTTTGCTACCTGTCCCAGGATCTCAGCTGCAGCGGTGTCCAGCCAGGGAAGTCCATCCTGCTGACTATGCCAGCCGTTGGGGAGGAAAAATATTTTTCCATCCTTCAAGATTCTTCTAGCTGGTCTAAGAATTAAATTGACATGAGAGAGATTAACGGAAGGAAAAAAAGTTTAGTTAACTGTGCATAGAGGCCCAACATTAAAACTGAGACCCAAAGGAATGACCAAGGCAGCCAGCTTTTATGCTTTTTAGGCAAAGAAACAATAAACCAGTGAGTAATAGTTAAAAGAAAACTTATGTTTGATAGCGTCAGTCAGTAAGGAATTCTAAAAAGAATTTGGTCTGAGGTAGTAAATTATTAAAAGTAACAAGGTTTATTTATACAGAATTCCCTCTCTCTGGTGATAAGGATGTCTCTTCATATCCTGGTACAGGGAAAGGTGTCCCAACCTTTCACATGGGTAGTTTATTTCCTGTGTTCAGGAGATACAGTGGAGGGAGAGGGTATCTGTGTGTTCTCCTTGCGCTGGCTATTTCTTATGTAACTTTATTTCAAAATAATATCCCAAAGGGGCATATTTGGGGGCAGACTGCCATTGGCCCCCACATGCACACTTGTGTAGGTTAGGCCTTGGAATAAGGCAGATACCATGGACCCCCAAGAGATCACTTGTGAGAACTGGGTTCTCCAGATGTGGCTCAGTTCAGGTCCCTGATTTTCCAGATCTTCAGTGGCCCACGAATGTGCAGAACCTACCTGTCAGCCAGACTTGGGCTACCTGGGTACTCCAGGGCCGTGCAGCTCAGATGCAACCCCAACCAAAGGCATAGTCTCCAATGTGGAGGGAGCCCAACCCCAAAAAACCCGTGTGAGGTGGCAGCTTTAAACTGGTATGGGGTTTACCAGTAATCAAGGTTTCCAGCTATCTGTTAGTAAAAGCTACACCAGCCAACCACCCAAACCAGCCCTGGCAAGGCAGACCAGATCCCTCCAGCTCTGCTCTCAGGGGGGAATAGGTGCATTTGTGGAGATGAATGCTTGGAATTAGATGCCAAGTATTCCCAAGAGCCCCACGTTCTATGACCCAGCCTCACCCAACATTGCCCTGCTGCAGGTCCCTGGCTACCCAGACTTGCATGGTTCACATGTGTCAAGTACGGACCCACAAGCCAGTCTTGGGAAGTCCCAGCCCTCCAAGCCTGAAGAACTCGAGTCACCCTCCAACATAATCTCAGCACAATCTCTGACATCTCCATGTCAGAGCCCACCTTCTGAAAATTGCTCCAATGTGACAGCTGCAGGTGGGCAACAGTCCTCATGTGGACTTGATCCTTGTTGGGGTTCCAGGTTTCTTCCAGAACCAGTACCCCCAGGCGTCTTCTAACAAAGGATACTTTGTCCTGCTGCCCAATCCTTCCCTGGCAGGGCAGTTGAAAAACCTCTAACAATGCCTCGAGGGGAATATTCCACAACGGATCAGTAGACCTTGAGATTAGGCCAATGTTTTACTCTCCTAAGAGCCCGCTCTTGTGAACCAACCTCTCCAGACACTTGCCCTGTTCTAGGTCCCCAGCTACTCTGTACATGCACAGTCCACACTCCAGCAGCTGCCCTGGGGCAGCCAGAGCCTTTCAGGCCTGTGGAGCTGAGACCCATCCCTAACCTAACGCTTTGCCTCAGCGTGGAGGAAGCCAACACCCCAAAAATCACTCTGAGGCATTGCTGAAATGCCTCAACGGCATTGCCTTGCCACAACAGCAAGACAACCCAGATTCCTCCAGCTCTGCCTTTAGGGGGAATATGCACAACTATGTAGGTTTAGGCTAAGCATTAGGCAGATGCCAGGCATCACCAATAGGTCGCTCCTATGACCGGGTTTCTCCTGACACAATTTCAGTTTCCTGGCTAGTCTGACCTGCCCCAGCAGCAAACAGGCAGTCACAGGGCACACCCTGTCAACTGGCCTTTTACTGCTGGAGCTGCCAAGCTTGTGGAGCTCAGGCAGGTCCTCAAATGCCAGCATAGCCCTGTGAAAGATTTCAAAATGAGATAAGCATTGCTAAGAGAGTCATTCAAAATGGAGTCAGTAGGATATTGAGGAGGCAGAGCGTTGGCACTCTCCTGTTGCAATCCTTGGAACACCACGAACTTTTGACTTTTGTCAGTTGCAACTGGACCACTTCCCCCAACATGCTCTGTGCATAAAGCATATATTTTTGTGGATATGTTCACCAGTCTTGGGCCTATGAATGTCCTGACAGTTGGAGAGGCCTTGGTGGCACATGTTTTGGGGGGGCATTTAACATCTTTTACTATTCTCAAAATGGCTTCCTAAATCTCACTCAAGAAGAAAAAGAGCCTCATCCATAGTCAATGAGGACCCTTCTGAATATGAAGACAACAGTTGTGGCCATAGCTAAGGCTGTGACCTTCTTGTCAGATATTTCAGAGATCAGATACCGAGTCATAGGTCCGTGGCTTGGAGTAGGCACAGCAGACTTGGAAGTTATGATGAGAAGTCTTACCAGAACTGTTAACAGAGTAGCTTGAACCACCCCTAGAGCCATCGGAGCCCAGAAAAAATCTTTAGGTTCCCTCGCTTGGGTAGTCCTTCACAACAGGATGGCTTTAGATTATTTACTTGCAGCCCCAGGAGGAGTCTGTGCCATACCTAATACCTCTTGCTGTACTTGGGTAAACACCTCACAACAAGTAATATGGGAAACCACTCCATTGCTCAAACTATTACCACAGGAGGTGTAATTTTAAGTTTTGTGGTATTTTTAGCTGGATTATTTTAATTTGTCCTATATGCTATTTTCAAATTTCTTGTACTGCATATTTCCTATTGCTGTACCTACTCAAAATGTCAATGATAGTTGCTCAAAGACTTGAAACCATTCATCAGATCTACCCTTTGACTAAAGGAAATGAGAAACTGATTGATGGCTAGACCTTATTTCCTCAAACCTCCTCGTTACTCAAATGTGGCCATAAGACTCTCACCTAGCACCTTGTTGAATATACTAAATATCAATCAGCTATGAAATAGCCCCCTTCCTGAGAGATATGATGGACCAAGCAGAGGCTGCCAACCACTCCAGCGATGAAATGAAACTCCACCACCATGAAATTGATCACTGATGCTTTCTTGTCTGAAAGATCTTGATCAAAAGGGGGAAATGTGAAAAAAAAAAAAATTCCAACATGAAGTAAGCATTGTGAAGAGAGTCATCCAAACTAGAGTCTGGAAGATACCGAGAAAGCAGAGCCTATGCCCATCTGTCCTGTTCATAGGAACACCATGAACTTTTGACTTTTGTCAATTGCAAGTAGATCCCTTCCCAGAATGTGGCTTCTACTTTGGGCTGAAATGGAGATAATGTAACATCTGCCAGCTAAATAGCTAATCCTGTATCAGTCCGTTGAACTCCACCAGCACCATTCATAATTCTTTCAAAACAAGTTATGTAACCTTGTGGTTTCTGCCTTTATAAGGCTGCACTCCTGGGCTCACAGTTTATAATTCAAATGCTGGTCAACTCTATGTCTTCCAAGATTGCAATCCCTAAGGCCCCAAATAAACACTTTGGGCTTTACAGCCTTGTGTTCTTCTTGGTCCACGGCCTTCAGGGTGGAGAGAGCCCACCCACCTAAAATCTTTCCAAGGCTTCTTAAATTGGCCATTTTCAGTTGCCATTTGGACTGACTGCCTGATAGAATCCCAAGCTTTTCCAGCAATCAATGCTCCTGAGTATTGCTTAAGAGATAGTACCCCAGTAATCTCACCCACCACTGCCCTGGCAAAGCAGGCCAGATTTCTGCATCTCTGCCTTGGGGGGAATATGTGTATTTGTGCAGGTTAAGGCTTAGAATTAGAAAGATGCCAGGTACCTCCAGGAGCTCCCTCCTGTGACCAGTCTCAGCTGACATTGTCTTTTCTCAGGACCCTGGCTGCCCTGACCTGTCTTCCCCCCACCCCCCAACCCATGCATGTGCAGTCCAGACCCTGTTAGCAGGGCTTGGGCTCCAAGGAGCTCTTCAGGACCAATGAGTTTGGGCAGGACCCCAATCACCAGAATGGCATCAGGGTGTAGAGAGCCCACGCCACAAAAATATTTCTGAGTCTCCACTTGAAACTGGGGATTGCCGATCCCTAGTTGGACGGGCTGTCTGATGGTGTCCCAGGCTTCTCCAGCCATGCAGGCTTCCAAATGTCTCTTATTGGAGGGTACCCTGACCATCCTGTGTGGCCCACCCTGGCTAGACAGTTCCAGGTTCCTCCAGCTCTGCCCTCAGGGAGAATATGCGCATTTGTGTGGGATTAGTTTGGCTGCTGGAACATTTCAGGACTTTGGGGCTCAGGCTGGTCCCCAACACCTGCATAGCCTCCAGGGTAGAGAGTGCCCACTCCCCCAAAAATCTTTCTGAGGTATCAGCATTAAACTGCCATTAGTCCCCAATGGACAGGCTCCCTGGTGAGATCCCAAGCTTCTCCAGCAAGCAAGACTTCCATTTGTCTGTTATAAACGGTATTTTTGAGACAGGGGAAATGGGAAGGACCCCATGAAAGAAAACCTGTTTTTTTCCCCCTTTGCTTTTTTTTTTTTTCCTGCTTCTATTCTTACTAAGACCTGCACCCCCACCCTACACATGCTTCAATGCAAGTCTTCCTTGTATGGAACAAAGAGTTAATGATATCATTGGAGTCTTCCAGCACAATAGATAATTTCTAAGCACTGGCGCTAGACTTCTTGACGCCAAGACCCCTGGCTTCAAGGAATAAGTGACGTATGATAGACACGGGGAACTTGTCCTTGTCCAAACCATTTCCTGGATGCCTGAGAGGACACATACACCAGACCCGAAACACAGATGAGACTCATGCTCGGGCTCCTTTCCGAGTCTCCTGGACGGGGGTCTGTATCTGCCTGCTCCATATCTTCAGTAAACTCTGCTTGCACCTCCTGCTGGCTCATGTTTGACTTCCCTCCTATGGGACCCCCCCCCACCAGGTCCTTGGACCTGGCCTGCTGGCATCATTTTGACCATCCCACACTTCCCACACTGGTAATGTAGTTTTCTATAGCTCTGTCTTTGGGGGAATATGCTCATTTGTGTAGGTAAGACTTGGAACTAGGCAGATTCCAGGTACCCACCCAGAGCCCTTTTTTTGTGAACTGACCTGGCCCAACATTGCCCTATCCCAGGTCCCTGGCTAGCCTGAGCTATGCAGCCTGCTTATGCGCAATATGCACCAATCAACTGGCCTCGGGCAGACCCAGTCCTCTAAACCCATATAGCGCAGGCCAGGCGCCCTGCGTAGCCTTTGGCAACTAGGGATCCCACCTCCTGAAAACTGCTCTGAGGCAGCAGCTGCAGAGAGTGACAATCAGCCCCCATGAGAACAGAACGCCTGATGGGTCTCTGCCACAATCAAGGCTCTCAGGTGTGTCTTGTAGAGGGCGACCCTGGCTAGGCCTCCCATCCAGCCCTGGCAAGGCAGTCCAGATTCTTCCTCTCTGCCTTCCACGGGAATATGGACATTTGTGGGGGCGCCTGAGTGGCTTAGATGGCTAAGCGTCTGCTTTTGGCTCAGCTCATGATCCTGGGGTCTGGGGATCAAGCCCCGCATCGGGCTGCCTTCTCAGTGGAGAGTTTGCTTCTCCCGCTCCCTCTGCCCCTCCCCCTTCCCCAGTTCATGCACACAAGGGCACTCTCTCTTCTCTCAAATAAATATAAATAAATAAATCTTTAAAAAATATAGATGCACATTTGTGTCGGTTAAGGCTTGGAATTCAATACCAGGAAGCCCCAATCGCTCACTCCCATGAGCTCACCTCCCCAGACACTTGCCGTGCTCCAGGTTCCTGGCTCCCCTGAGGGGCATGGCTCACGCATGTGTGGTATGTATCCCATCAGCTGCCTTTGAGCAGTCGGTGGGGCCCCCCAGGCCTGTGGAAGTTGGGTCTATCCCCAACCACCTGCACTGCCTGAAGAATGGAGAGAGCCCACCCATTGGCAATTGTTCTGTGTCATCAGCTGAAATGGGCAACAGACAGTCCCCAGTGGACCTAGCCCTAACCCTAACCTGATGGGGTCCTGGGCCTTCTGGTAAAATCAAGGCTCCCAGGTGTTTCTTACCGGATGATACCACAACCAGCTTGCCCAGTTTAGCCCTATCCGTAAACCAACCATTATCCTCTAATCTTTAATCCATAAAAATATAAGTTAGTCGATGCCTTTCCTTCCGGTATTACCTGCAGTGTCTATTTTAGCTTGTTTTGATGTCTTTAAAAATCCATAGGTCAGCTCCTGTACTGGAGATGATCTCCCACTTTCTTCTCTTTGAGGATCATAAACTAAACTTACCCTTAGCCAAGGAGCATTTACCTGAACTAAAGAGCACATTTTGCATTTGAGAAGCGGTGGCCTGAGTCACATCACAATAGGGTAGAGTTGGCAAGAAGATGTAATGCTTGCCACCATTGGTCCAGAACAATTGCAGCCTTCCCTCTCCCTGCCCCAAACTCAGCCCCGTCATTATCAACACAAAGCTCCCAGCAGCTGTTGCAGTGGATCAGATTAGAAGCGATTTAAATTTATTTCCCATCCCTGTCATAAAAGAAAGAGCACGCTGATTTCGAAACACAGGCGCATTTTGCTTTTTTTCTACTTAAAAAACAAATGGGCTTTGCCAATATTAATGTCACATTTCTTGGCAGTCCCTCTTCTTCCTTATGCAACCGTGATTGCTTTTGTATGTTTCTTTTTTTGAGATTTTTTTTTCTGGTGGTTTATTTTGTATCATTATATTTACAACAATTACAATGTTTAAAACATGGTAGGTACTTAAATGTTTACTTGAACATGAACTATGACTATTATTTAAATCCTCTAATGACCATTGACTATTATTTAAAACGACCTATCAAATAAACAAACACCTGCACACACATATGCATTGAATGCATATACTTTGCTACCGGCACTCACCACGACCACAGGTGGGTGCTTTTAAGAAAACCAATAAATTGTATTTGTTTCTTATGGATATTGAAGAATGTGCCTTATTCCAATTGGTTGTCTTGTTTTACCAAAAAGAAATCTTTTTCATTTTTCTCAGTCGACTGAGTCTTGATTAGTTCCAAAAAGAGCAAGTTTATAGAAGTCGCATGTGTCATTAAGGATGGGACAGGAAACTGCCCTCCTTTAGCAGTAAGTCCAAGAACCAAAGAATCCTGCGAGGGTCAGGTGACACCTCTGGCCATCAGTGGAGTGACGCAGCACAGTCTCCAGGCCTGGAACCTGCTGCGCCCTCGTTCACCATTCTCCGTGTGCTCGTCCTCATTCACGAGGCTTTCTTGAATCGGAGGGAGAGACGGAGGTTGTAAGTCGGGCCCCAGGAATTGCTCCCAGCCTGGAGTGTGCTGGCTGGGAATGTGTTAATCATTAAGTGTGGACATCATTCAGTTGTGTGTCTGGATTGGGAGGGGCCGGAGTGTCTTCAGACTTTCTGCGTTAGAATGTTGTCCAACCAGAATTAACGAGCAGAATTGCCCTCGGTGCCTCCCACCCACCCTTCTCCCAGCTTTCCGGCCGCACTGTCTACACCCAACTAACAACATCGATCCGTTGATATCTTTTGTAGAATAGTTTTCTACCAAATCTGAATTCGATTTTGAAAATCCCAAAGATGCACTCCTGCAGTTTAGAAAAACAGGAACTCTCAGGAGTCAGCGTGTCTTAACATTAGAGCTTTCATTGAAATGGGCTACCGAGGATGCAATTAAAGGGGCAGTTAAGTCATTCCCGACCTCTGCAGGTGTGCGCCAACGTGATTTTTTTAACACATAAACTCACCACTAGAGGATGTTACATACTTCTCCAAATACATTGGAACAGACTGAGGCTCCATACTGTGAAAACCGATTGAGGAGGACAAGAGGGGCTAGGAATTATTTACGTACTTTGGGAATTGTCATTTTAAGTAGTATGTAATAAAGAGGATGTCAAGTCGGAAGTTGCAATCTGGGTCGTGGAATGGTTGATACAGAAGCTGACAAAGATTCTTCACCAAACTTTAGTCAGGCTCTGCAACTTTCTCGTAGGTCCATCTATGCACTTACTTATAAAATACAGCTTGACCAAGAACCTGCTAAGTCAGTTTAACCCTAACCCCACCCACCCCCAATATCTGATCTGGCTCCTCATCCTCCAGTGTCCCCCGGGGGATGTCTAATCCCCACAGCCTGTCTCCAGCAAGAATCCCGTTGGGTGGGTTTATCCAGAAGCCCCCTCATCCCCAGTGTGTCCCTGTCCTTGCCTAAGCCCAACCTCCCTCCCCCACTGTAAAATCCCACAGCAGTGGTCCCTTTGCCTAGCAGGAGGGTTCCCAATAAGGCCCACCTTACCATCCTTAACAAGTGTCACTGACGTTTTATTCTTTAACAACGTAGCTTCATCAAGCTACACAAAGAAAGGATATTAGCTACTGTGTGACCCTTAGCTACTTTGTGAAGAGGAAACAGAGTGGGCAGATCCGGTTTTGTAGAGGTGCAGGGCACTCCTTACCGAGAAATCCTCCCACACCGTATATGATTTTTGGGGCCTGCAGAGGCCCCCATACCCACAAACACTAAAAATGAGACACTTAGATGGTCTTTTTTTTAACTGGTAGCCTGACACTTTCTAGGATCCCTAATTTTCTTTTTTTTTTAGGACCCCTAATTTTCTAATATCAGTACAAATCAGTATTTGAGATGAGCCATCCATTCCGTAATGTCTGTTATTACCATGTTCCCTGAGATGCCATCGTAAGTTCTCGCATTAACATCCCTCTGTCATTCCAAACACATAACAATAATAGATAAAATATTTCAAGGGGATTTTAAAAACACAGAACCAGGCTCAAAAACAAAAGAAGCACCTTTGGGGCCCCTGGGTGGCTCATTCGGTTAAGCATCCTCCTCTTGGTTTCAGCTCCGGGCTGAGGTGGGGCTCTGTGCTCTGCAGGGAGTCTGCGGGAGATTCTCTCCCTCTCCCTCTGCCCCCTCCCTCGCTCCTGCAAGTCCACACACGCGCACTCTCTTTCTCTCTCTCAAATAAACAAATAAATCTTTTAAAAAAAAAGAAGAAGAAGAAGGATTGCCTGGGTGGCTCAGTCGGTTAAGCGTCTGCCTTCGGCTCAGGTCATGATCTC